TAACCACTAAAACTTTGCCGACATCGGAATTCCGACGAATTCATTTTGCTCGGAAATCCGTCGGGATGCCGTCGGAAATTTCCGACGGAAATTTCGTCCGTCGGAATACTGCTTGTTTTCTTGTAGTGCACATTGAACCCATTACGAAGATATATTAGGTTATCACAAAAGAGATTCATCAATAAGGAATCAATTAGAATAGTTTGGCAAGAAGAATTGAAAATCGTTGGTTGATTTATAAAGGCGTTTCTCATTTGAAGAAAGCATATTTAGATATCAAGATGAACTATTAGTCAATGAAGAAAATAACACTCGGTTCTGATATAGGTCTTGTTTTGGTCCAGTGCAAAGAGTGCAAATCACTGGGCCTATTTGCTTTTTTTTTTTTAAATTGGCCTAAATTTAAAATCTATTTTAATTTTTTTTTTTAAAATATGATAATTTAGGGTTTTTTTATATCAGGTTTGTTGAATAAAAGACCTGAAAACAATATCTGGTACGGGGCCCAATCATCAAGTGGAGCCGGAGTACTGCATTTTTTTGCCTTAATATAATTTTTATCTCCTTAAAATTTGTAATGAAACAAAAGTCATCTCATATGGATACTCAAAAGAAATGTTAAAATTTAACAATCACAAATTTTTTGTCAAATATCCGAAGAAGGGAAAATAGGATCCACTCACATCATTTTGCATATTCTCTCTCACGGCTCTAAGCAGATAATATAACACATAATTTTTCGCTTGCAAGCAATACATAAACATACATTTTCTGTTACATATTTATAACATGACCCACTTTTTTTTTTCTTGATCAAAAACATGACCCACTTTGTATAAAAATATCTCTTAGCTTTTTGCCTTTTGGATTATTGGCTCTCAGGATAACAATAGTGTAGGGCAAAAAGATATTTTGGTCGATCCAGTATGTCTCACACGTCCGCTATCAACGGACGCAACATAATACGATATTCATTCATCATCTTTCTTATTACATTAAGGAACACCATTTTGATCTGCTTTGCGATCGGCAAAGATGACAGGTCCGTTAAGAAACGGCCAACGTCTCGTGACGTTATCTTCTCCCATAAAATCCAGAGTTCTTGTAAAAAGGTAGCGCGAGAAGATTTACAAGTTTGTTTTTTGTTTCCTTAAGATTTACAAGTTGGCCTTTGACATGACAGAGAGACCGCTTGGTTGGGGCTTGAAGTTAGCCCTCCGGCTTTGGCTGTGTGACAACGGCCGAGTCAGAACGGCGAGTGCTCGCTTCACCACAGAGTTCGTCATCACTGACCGCCTCCCCTGCATACGATTGCTCGGAGACGGCGCGTGCGCACTAGTCGTACCGAATCCTTTGTGTTGTCCGCACCGGAAGGATCCTGGATGGTTCGTTGGGGAGCACGAACAAGCGCGCTTCGGCGACTGACCGGTACGAGCCGAGAACGACCGACCCGGAGAAAGCCTGACGGAAGACGCGCGGCTAGCAACGGTGGCGCGAGTCGGCGTTGAGGTGGCAAAGACTGTGGTGGAACACGGCGGCGCGTGAGAATAGAATCTATCGGAGGGAGAGAGCGAACTGAGGAGGAGGACAGGTCCGCTTTCGCGTCTTGAAGATGTCGCCATTTTGTTTTCTATTTTGGTTGTTGTTTGGCTTTCTCTTCTTGAAGTTGTGGTGTGGTTCGATGGTTAGTTAAAGCAATCATAGATTAGAACTCAACTCATGATATTTATAAGAGAGAAGCTACGTCGACCAAGGGTAAAAGTGTAATCTGGAGTTCGATGACACACCACCTTTCGTGTCACTTAGGCAAATATCTCACACGCTATGCGTACTAGAAAGTATATGTATTTAACTATTAGTATAGTATCCTATACAATGGGCGGATCGAATCGAATCGTTTATTATATATAAAGTGGTGAATTATGGCTATCGTAAAATTCTATCCGTAAAATGAATAATATATTATCTTCTGACGAAAAAGTTAAATTAATATATTTGTAAATGATTTCAACTTCGATCGTTATCTTTTATTAGTGTTCTAAAGATCCAAAAGTTTTTACTTTTTATACAAACCCGAATTAATCAGAGTCACAAGCCTAAAATTTTTACGGGAGTCACAATCCGATCTTCGATGAGAACAAGGATAAAAAAATACACAAATGGATAATATTATTTTTCTCAAATAATTTCTATTAGTTAGGTTCATATTTGATTCAGATAATTTGGTATATTAGGTTTATACCAAATTACACAATTTTTTCTTCACATGCATAAGCAATTTGGAGAGGAGTTCAAATTATGAATCTAGATTTGATCGACCCAAATTCTAGTTTTGATACAAAATTCAAGGCGATATGGACTCCAATTTCAACAACCAATTTTTTTAGTTTATCGCCAACTACCACTATAAATTTTATGAAAAGTTTAGAAAAGTGGGGATGAACTCATATACTGGAACCAAGATAACTAATGGCAAAAAGATTTGCATTAAGCTGTTGTTGATACGCAAAAATGGATTTTTATTGTATTGGAAAATGATTTGGATAATGTTTATGCCCTTGATCACAATACTCGCATCATAATTTGGTTTTACCAAATGCAATTATGATTGATTCAAAGTCGATGAATCTTCTCATGAACCTTAGATTTTACGAGATTTATCAAGTTTTTTTTCTTTTGAAGCTATAGAAAATTGTAATATAGGGACTGAAGGGTACTTCAAACCTTGCTCATAACAATGCAACATGTATGAATTCGAAGTTTTCATAACGTTATTTTTGAAGTTTCAAAAACAAAAAAGTATTCATAATCTTCTTAATTTTTTAGAAACAAAATGAAGAATTTCAAAGTTCACCATTGGATTAGAGATATTAAATTTTGGAGTTCAAAGTTTAAACAAATTCGCTATCAATGGATCTCTAGGCAATACCATAAAGCTGCTTATCGACTCGCAAAATACCCGATGAC